CAGTTTGATCCATCGTCACAGCAGCTTCAATTCTCTGACCAACCGTTTAGGTAATTAATCTTTTTGTTAAGGAACATGAGTTTTTTAGTTTACGTTGTAATCTGTCTGCCCCCCCCAGTTTGATCCATCGTGACAGCAGCTTAGTTAGGGGATATTTGAGATTTTTTGCCTATATGAGTTTTTTCAATACTTCAATAGTAGGATTGGTTACTAGTTCTAATCTCATACAAATTTATTTTTTTGGGGGGAATTGGTGGGAATGTGTTCTTATATATTAGTAGGTTTTTGGTCTGCTCAACAACAGTTGGACAAGTGGGAAATGTTAGGGTAAACCAGAAAAGTTTTGGTAGAGCCATCTAAATGTTAGCTAAGTAAGCGTCCTGCAGTAAGAGGAGTAGTTATGAACCCTATACACCATCCCCCTCTTAAGGAATATGAGTTTTTTAGTTTACGTTGTAACTGCTTTGTTCCTTTACTAATTTGGCTGTTCTGTCTGCTTTTATTATTATTATTATTATTATTACTATCATTATTTTTCAATGATCAGGTGAAAGTAGGAGAACCAGTTGGGAATGTCATCGCGCATCATCATATCGGTTATTACTATATTGAGTGGCTTCATTCCAGTGAAGTTCCAGTCTGAAACTTCCTCCCCATTTGACAAACATCCCTGGATCATGGTCTCCTTTTTGTCCGTGATAATCGCCTACGGTGTCGTCGAATTCCTAGCCGATCATCAGACCCAAAACAATATTAATAATACAGTACTAGTTTTCTTGGGTGGGTGATCACTCTCTTGTTTTCATGTTATGTACTCAAGAAATTAGCTTGTGATTATAACGTTGTCAACTATATTGTCTCAATCACCGAGACAGTAGAAAATGCATTTTTAAAAATACGTGACAAGTACTTGAAAGCAACGCCGGAAGATGAATCTCCAGTTTGAAACCATTTTATCTCCAGTTTGAAACTGTTCAAGCTTGATGTGGTTTGTCGTTACACAACCAGTCTCCTGTAATTGCATGTCCTCTACTCTCCTCCTCTTTTATCTGAATATAATCTAATATAATAAACGATATATAAGGCCTTATCAGTTATATAGTTAATTTAGGGTATCATTTATTGTATTTGAAGAGATATTTTCTACCTCTTGAATTAGAGACAACTGAAATTAATATATAGTTGTATACGCCCCTTGATTGACTTAAACCCATAAATAGTTAATACCATCTAACAAGTTAAAAAAAAAAAGGAAAAAAGGCATGCAACATATGCTATAAATATGATGCACCTATATATATATATATATATATATATATACACACACGCTCATAATGATTTTATATACATCTTCATTCTTCACCAAAAAAAAAAAGATATATATAGGTATTTAATTGCTTGTTCTACTTCTTTTATAGATATGATCATGACCATATAACGTCAAAAATATGCCTTTTGCACGCCAAACCAAATGGAGAGGCCACCTAATTGAATTATTTTCTGATCTACTTCAGTTTTTGTTTGCTGTGTGTTTATTCGTTTGCATGAGCAAAATTAAATTCTCTATGATTTAACAAAAAATACTATGATAGAATTCTCTATGATTTAAACTTGTTTATGTTTTTCTTTTTTAACTTTTGTTTTTATTCTTGACAGATCACACATATATCATCCGCGGCAAGTGTTGTTAACGTTTTATAGAAAAACAAGTGGGAGTAAATCTTTGCGTGGGTTCCACCAAAGAAGAGCTCCTGGATTTTGCTCGACAAACATCGCATTCACATATTTAATTTAGTCCATATATATTTTCCATTTAAAGGAAGCAATTAAAGACTATAATATCTCAAAGTATGGGACAAATTATTTAATTAGGTTCTAGCTAGTAACGAAAGGAAATAAATACAAAATACATGGTAGCTTAGTTAAAGAGTGGTGGCTTATCAGATCTTGCATTTGGTTTTCAAGCTTGATGTGGTTTAAGAGCATATTTCGTGACATTTGTAGTCAAACAAAAGCCAACAATACATATATATATGTATATATATATATTTATAATATTATATATGGCTACTATATCAGTATCGCAAAAAGAAAAATGTGGTAAGGACTTTTCTCTACACAGTTTTAACCTACATATGTTGACACTTTTAAAATGTGTAGGTAAAATGGTTTTCCTTACACAAAATTTTTACCAACATATATATGTGGGTAAAGTCCTAAATTTCTTGTAGTGATTATTTTATTTTCTCTCTTTTGGCCCTTACAATGCGTTGACCAAGTCAAACTATTTCTCTCCTTTTCCATTTAAATTTCATCTCACAAGCCTTTTAAATTTTAGTTTTTTAGTTTACGTTGTATATAATATATGGCTACCATATATATGTATATAATATATAATATTATAGCTACCATATACTATATTATAATATATTACATAAGGGGGTCGCTAGCTCTCCTTCTTTCTTCATTCCCAGCTCACTTCCTTATAATATATTATATAATATCATGGTTACCATATATTATAACTATCAATTTTGACTATTTTATCTATTGATCAAACCCAGCTTCGCCTATTTTTACTTTTGATAAAATCGAACGGTCTAAGAATTCCACATATTTGATACAGTATTTTTTTTTATATAAATATTCTTCTCTAAGGATAAATATGAGAAGTAGAAACCAACAATAATTAACTAATTATAACCTCTGTAGAACACGACTTTTGTAAGTGGATGTCCATGCACACTAAATAATATGAAATGTTCAACACACCCAAATAAAACAATCAAATGAGACATGTAAGCAGCCTTGTGGGAGGAAATTTTGCCACAACTTAATTTCAATGATATACAACAAAAGTATATTTTTGAAATACTTTTGTTGTATATCATTGAAATTAAATCCATTGCCATTGGAAACAAAAGTATATCATTGAAATACTTCTGTTGTATATCATTGAAATACTTTTTTTGTATATCATTGAAATACTTCTGTTGTATATATCATTGAAATACTTTTGTTGTATATCATTAAAATTTTGCAGCTAATAATCACATCTAATTTTTTTGCTATAGTAAAAAACTCACATAAAATCACATCTCAATCTAAATTAAAAACTTGAATCGGCGAACTAAACGGGCCAAAAATCTGAAAAAAAAAAAAAATTCTAACAATCTTTTCTTATTTTCATTTTTCTGATTGATCTCGATTTATCATTAATTGACCATTGGCTTATTACTGATTAATTAAAAGACTATTCGTAGTTTCCAATTTTTGTTTATAAACACCCTTTCTATCATTCTTTTCAGACCGCGACGAATCATATTCGCTATGAGCATTCGAATTAGACAAGTGGCTATTGATCTTACTATCGCCCTTTATACGAGAAACATCATCTTTATCATCCGTAAATATTGCTGCTGTTTTATCCGCAGACCGCGACAAATCAGCACCATGATCATCAGAATCCGAATCAGATAATTTTCTCTTGCGGCTATCGATCTTGCTCTTGCTAAAATTTTTAGTCCCGTTGTGACCCGACTTGTGACCTCCTAGGGCTTGGTAACTTGTGAACGAACTATTGCAAACATTGCATACATAATGATTATTCCCTTCTTCTTTCTTTGTTTTTCCTTTGTTCTTATTTATCCGATCAAGAACGGATAATAATTCCGAGCCCTCTGAGGAGGAGGAGCAGCCGCTGGTTGTACGGTTGCCGCTACCTTTCTTCGCGCTGACAGGTGAAGAATTATCATCATCAATCACATAATGACCGCCAGGAACAGCAGAAAGAGGCTGAATTCCTTTCCAACCCCTATCAGGATGAACCCTCATGTGACTGCAAAGCGCCTTCATCGACCGGAAACTTTTCTCGCAAAGGAAGCAAATCGGAACATCTTCTTCCTCTTCCTCATCATCATTATCTTGAATGATGGCTTTTCTTTTGTTGTTTTTGGGTGGGAGATCGTGCATTGTCTTGTGGCCGCCGAGGCCTTTTCCAGACTTAAATCGCTTCTTACAAACTCGGCACACAAAAGGCAACAGTTCTTGATCTTGATCTGGAACTTGAACTTCGTCAGGGTTGTTCATCATGCGTACTTGATCATCATAATTATCAACATGATGTTGATCATGGTCATCATCTGGTTTTGGATTGACTCCATTCTTACTCTTCTTTCCACCATTTTTCTCCGCCTCCATTGTACGAAGCGTAGATTCTCGCAAGAAGAAGAACAAGAATGAGAAAAAGAAGAAATAGACGAGAGCTTTTTTTGTGGAAAAAAGAGAAGGGGAAAAAGAGAGGAAATGTTGTATGTTTGCAGGGGAAAAAATAAGAAAATATTATATTTTATATATATATATATATATATATATACCGGGTACTGTAATTAGGCTATCAAAGAAAGACAATGATTAACGAGCTACTTCCTCTTTTTTTTTTTTTTTTTTTTTTTTTTTTTTTTTGCCCCCTCTTTTTTTTTTTTTTTTT